TTAAGAGAGCGATTCACACCAGACATCCCAAGAATATTGCTACACTGAAACAGTTTTGTGAAGAGGAGTGGTCCAAAATGACTCCAGATCGTTGTGCAGGTCTGATCTGCAACTACAGGAAACGTTTGGTTGAGGTTATTGCTGCCAAAGGAGGGTCAACCAGTTATTAAGTCCAAAGGTTCACATACTTTTTCCTCCCTGCACTGTGAATGTTTACATGTTATGTGCAATTAAACCATGGCAACATCTAATGTTTGTGTAGTATTATGTTCAGCAGACTGTGTTCTTCTATTGTTGTGACTTAGATGACGTTCAGAGCACATTTTATGCCCAATTCATTCAAAACTCCACGTAATCCCAAGGGGTTCACATACTTTTTCTTGCAACTGTATATATATATATATATATATATATATATATATATATATTTTTATTACAGAGTCTCAGTTAAGCCCCAGTCTTATTACTATCAGTGACCCTTGGCATATAACCTACTGTTTACCAATACCTGGGAATTTATATATGTGAAGACACATAATAATTCAGAACTTACTGGTGGGTGGTATATACAGTAGCCCCCTTGTATTGCTAACATTATTATTTATTATTCTTTTTAAGCATCTTTACCATGAACTAATATGATGTTAATACAATTTTTTAGCTGTTGTGCAGGTGACCTCATTATTAGCTGGAGGGGCCCTGACTGGTCGATACCAATGGTGGTGTGAACTGGGGAGTGGTGGCAAATTGCATTGTTCTTATGTTATAGCTAATGGTCATTTTGCTTCGATCTATTGAGTGTATGCGTTCTAGACAATCAATCTATACAAACAATATTTCTGAATATGTTCTGATTGTAGTATTTCTCCTAAAGAAATGAACTTTTAATTTTATATATCAAAACACCCTTCTTGCAGAGCTATCTCAGAGGAAGGAGTTTATTGACTTTGAAATGCGTTGGTTTTTGTAACAAACCCTGTAATTCAAGCACTGTATGTTGGTGATGTAATAATGACATGAACAAACAGTCTTTTTCAACATGGTTTTTAATGATTTGAACATTTATATTTTGATATACAAATAAAGATTGATGTGAATATTTAAATTGATGTATTTTTGCTATTAAAATCCCTTATAACTGGGGGTTTATTTTAGAATTTGTTTATCAGTCCATATATTTGTGTACACTAGTGCAGTTTGCAAAGCCATAAACCATTACATTTGCATATCCCTTCTCAAATGTCCTTAATCCCTGACATATGTTGGCAGAATTTTATGTTCTCTGTAATTTGTATTTTATATAAAACAATTGGCATGTCTAAATGTAACTTCCCGAAAAATCATAATAATCTTAAATTAGCCTCTTAGTAATTTGCGTAATGGGAAGGACCTTAATGCAATTAAACTGGTTGCATTGCACCTACACATAAAAGTACATATCAAGTTCTTGGGGATGGGAGGGATAGGGCAAGATCACTGTTGCAAAGAGAATCTTTTTAGATCCATGGGTTAATTACAATATTACCATTGGCTTGCATTCAACATTTTCTTAAAGTGCTTCCCGACTGCCCTATAGCAGAACTACTGCTACAGGGTGGCAGGGGTGCGCAAAATCATGTATATATCTGTGCACACGTGCTGCCATATTGTCAGGGCAGGGGCCGAGGAATGGACAGGCAAGCCTAACAATGTAACGCACTGGCTGATGACAACCACCACCCACAGACCGAAGTCCCCCAGGGCGCGGAGTCTAAGTCCCAGGCTGCCCTTTACCAGGGCCCCTGATGGTGGGGATGGACTTGACGCAGCCAGGAACCAGGTCGCGGCCCCCGAGACACCTCAGCTGCGGTAATGGCCACCGCCAATGGCGTGTAGCTGGTGGAAGAAACAAAAGAGTAGTCAGACAAGCCGGGGTCAACAACAACAGGACAAAACAGTACAGGACAGCAGACGAGAATCACAGGTCACAAGCCGGGTTCAGCAACAGAGGGTCAGATCAAAGGAGAATACAGAGAATAGTCAAGTCACAAGCCGAATCAGAATACCAGGAGAGTCACGAGAGTCAGAACAGAGTAATAGTAACACCAAGACACAAGACACAAGTGCAAAGAGCATGTGCGGGCCACAGGCTTATATGTCATCAGCCACGCCCCTCTGGGGGGTGGACCTCAGAGACCTAAAGACATAAAAAGGATACCCATCATGCACAGCAGAATCCAAGATGGACGCCAGCACATGGAGTAACATAACCTCAGGGAAAAGGTAGGACCTTGACAGTACCTCCTCCTCAAGGGCCCCTCCCCCTCCGCGGCTCAACAAAAGGTTTCTGAGGAAAGCGGGTATGAAAAGCGCGGAGGAGGGCAGGAGCATGGACATCCGCGGAAGGAACCCAGGAACGCTCCTCAGGACCATAACCGCGCCAATGAACCAGGAACTGTAATCGACCGCGCACCAATCGAGAGTCCAGGATCCGGCTCACCTCATACTCCTCATGACCGTCAACCCGGACAGGACGGGGCCGAGGCAGAGAGGTAGTGAAGCGATTGCAGATCAGAGGTTTCAACAGGGAAACATGAAAGATATTGGAGATCCGCATCCCAGACGGAAGGGCAAGGGCATAGGCCACCGGATTCACTTTGCGGAGAATACGGAAAGGACCGACAAAACGGGGAGCTAGTTTGGATGTGGGCACCCGAAGATTGAGGTTGCGAGTAGACAACCACACCCGATCGCCGACCTGGTATGAAGGAGCGGGCAACCGTCTGCGATCAGCCTGGAACTTTTGGCGCTGAGCTGAGTCCCTCAAGGCCCTCTGGATCTGCCCCCATGAAGAACGCAGGGCAGCAAGATGGTTCTCCACAGCTGGAATGTCCTGTGGTGAAAACCTCTCAGGTAATACTGCGGGTTGGAACCCATAGTTGGCCATGAAGGGCGACATCCCGGAGGAGGAGTTGACCGCCGAGTTCCTGGCAAACTCTGCCCAAGGCAGGAGATCGGCCCAATCGTCCTGATGGTCTGAATTATAACATCGAAGGAATTGTTCTAAGGCCTGATTGGAACGCTCCGCAGCCCCATTACGCTCCTCCCACTGGCACAGTCTCGTGGGTAACCTGCGGTGGTTGCAGGGGCCTGCCATCTATCGCCTCGAGAACCAATGGGGTAACTCGAGCCTGCAGGGGAATGGAGTGCTGGGCAGCAAACGAGCTGTCCATAAACAACCCACGCTGGCCCCAGAATCTACCAACGCCTGGGCCGTCACCGAGCCCTCCGCCCAAGAGAGGACAACGGTGATCAGTGGCTTATCTCTGCGGAACACCGGGGACGAGGAGACTCCACCCAAGATCTGTCCCCGACAGGATCTCAGGTGCGAGCGTTTCCCGGACGGACCGGACAGGACTGCCGAAAGTGCCCACCAAGACCACAGTACAGGCAGCGACCCTCCCGACGCCGAGCGGCCCGCTCCCCCTCGGAAAGGCGAGCAAACCCCAGCTGCATGGGCTCACCACCAGACAATCCATCCCCAGGAGGCATGGGAGGAGAGGGAGGAACAGGTGGGACAGAAAACGCAGGTGCCAGTCGATTGGAAGGCCTCCGCAGGCGTTCCTTGAGTGAAGGCCTCTCCCTGAGCCTGGTGTCAATCAGGATCAGGAAAGAGATGAGCTCCTCCAACACCACAGACAGTTCCTTAGCTGCAATCTCGTCCTTCAGTGTGTCTGAAAGACCATGGGAAAACGCAGCCACCAGAGCCTCATTGTTCCAACCGACCTCAGCCGCCAGGGTACGAAACTCTATGGCGTACTCGGCCACGGTCCGTGAACCCTGATGCATGGTCATGAGCAGCTTGGCCTCCGAGGCGGAACGAGCCGGTACATCGAATACCCTACGGAAGGCATCGACAAAACCGGAAAAATCTTGAATCATTGGGTCGTTCCTCTCCCATAATGGATTTGCCCAGGCCAAGGCCTTGTCTGAGAGTAGTGAAATTAGGAACCCAACCTTTGACCTCTCAGACGGGAAAGCGTGGGGTATTAATTCAAAATAAATACCCACCTGGTTGAGGAACCCACGACACTGACTCGGCTCACCCCCAAAGCGCTGTGGAAGAGGGGCAGAGCCAGTCATACCTCTGGGTGCCGCTGCTGCAGCCACCGAGGTGGTGGACGCAATAGGCGGAGAAGCAGCGGGAGAGACCACCGGAGTGACTACCGGCCTAATAGCACCAGGAGGAAGGTGTGCAGTGCGTGCAAGCAGAGTTTGCAACGCCTGAGCGAAACTGATCCAACAGGTGATCCTGTTGATCGAGTCTGGCGACTAGCGTTGGGAGTGAAGGCGTGCCTGCACCGTCAGGGTTCATGGCACTTGTGTAATGTCAGGGCAGGGGCCGAGGAATGGACAGGCAAGCCTAACAATGTAACGCACTGGCTGACGACAACCACCACCCACAGACCGAAGTCCCCCAGGGCGCGGAGTCTAAGTCCCAGGCTGCCCTTTTACCAGGGCCCCTGATGGTGGGGATGGACTTGACGCAGCCAGGAACCAGGTCGCGGCCCCCGAGACACCTCAGCTGCGGTAATGGCCGCCACCAATGGCGTGTAGCTGGTGGAAGAAACAAAAGAGTAGTCAGACAAGCCGGGGTCAACAACAACAGGACAAAACAGTACAGGACAGCAGACGAGAATCACAGGTCACAAGCCGGGTTCAGCAACAGAGGGTCAGATCAAAGGAGAATACAGAGAATAGTCAAGTCACAAGCCGAATCAGAATACCAGGAGAGTCACAAGAGTCAGAACAGAGTAATAGTAACACCAAGACACAAGACACAAGTGCAAAGAGCATGTGCGGGCCACAGGCTTATATGTCATCAGCCACGCCCCTCTGGGGGGTGGACCTCAGAGACCTAAAGACATAAAAAGGATACCCATCATGCACAGCAGAATCCAAGATGGACGCCAGCACATGGAGTAACATAACCTCAGGGAAAAGGTAGGACCTTGACACATATCCCCTCCGCCATTGGAGGCTACAGCTGTCGATCACCGGGTCCCAGCCGGAGATTCCCCGCAGACACCCGGTGATCGCCGAGTATCACTAACAGGGAAGAGGTCTGTATGTAAACAACGCAGATCTCTCCTGTCATCACCAGCATGCTGCTTTGTATTGCTCTGCATAGCAGAGCAATACAAAGCATCATGCTTACATAATAAAACACACACAGACAACACAGTAAAACAGCACACACAGCACACAGATAACCCTTTGATCTCCCCAGATGTTGACCCCTTCCTGCCCAGTGCCATTAGTACAGTGTCAGTGCTTTTTATTAGCACTGATCACTGTATTAGTGTCATTGGGGATGTCAGTGGCAGTTAATCAGCCCCCCCCCCCCATTGTCAGAATACCCACCACAGTCCCACAGTTCTGCTATAAGTCACTGATCACCACCATTACTAGTATTAAAAATAAAAAATCCAGTATATGTATATACCACCATTTGTAGACGCTATAACTTTCACGTAAACCAAATAATTTACACGTATTGGGATTTTTTTTTAGCAAAGACATGTAGCAGAATACATTTTGGCCTAAATTTATGATAAAATTTGATTTTTAAAATTTTTTTACTGGATATATTTTATAGCAAAAAATCAAAAATATTTTTTTTTTCAAAACTGTCAGTCCTTTTTTGTTTATCGTGCAAAAAATTAAAAATGCAAAGGTGGTCAAATACTACCGATAGAAAGCTCCATTTGTGGGAAAAAAGGACATACATTTTATTTGGGTGCAGTGTTGTATGATCGCACAAATGTCAGTTAAAGTAACACAGCGCCGTATCTCAAAAAATGGCCTGGTCAGGAAGGGGGGTAAATCCTCTGGAGGGCAAGTGGTTAAATTGATTTTGAATGCGGGTTGACTGTCACAGTTCCCTCCCAGTTCCATCTACCTTTGTATTCAGTACGTAGTACACGCTCCTTTAAGGTGGATTATTTATTTCTATATTTATACTTGTATGCAATTTTCTATGTGCACTTAATGGTAACATATAGTTTGACTTTTCTATACACTGTCTGCTGGCCCTTTAACATGTTTTGTTTTATTTTTTTTATGAAACAGGACATGTTACAGTGTCCTTTTAATATGTTTGGTTTAATTGCTTATTTATTTATTGTGCTTCATTGAATAAATAAACAAATAAATAAATACATACATTTTATTTCTTAACTTGCATGCATTGTTTTCTTGTTTTATTCCAATTTTCTGATTAGATGTGTGCCCATGTTTTTGGTTATATGTATCCCAATGTCCAGTTGCCTTGGTTGCCTGCTTGTTTATCTTTTTCGTTTTTCACTTTTGTTCTCTGCTCCTCTTTCTCTGTTTGGTGGTTGTAGCCTAAAACCTGACAAGCGGGTCACCATGGAGACAAGGACATCAGCCAGATGCCTTACTGGGTGTTATAATGTTTTATGAAGATCATTTTTGCATGGAGGTTGGTGGTTTTGGGTGTATAAACTTACTTACATTTCTCCCTGATGATTTGATAACTATACTATGTCTTTTGGATGGTTGTTAAATCTATAGACTAATTGATGGCTGTGGTTTTATGATTGGGCTATAATAGGTGGTTCTGATCCATTTAAACTCTCTGTATGTTACCTGTCAGTTGTCTCTGCTGCTTGAAGAAGGGGTTCTCAGTGTCCCTGAAAAGTTGTGGTGGCAAATAAATGTCCTATGTAAATTTTTCCATAATGGAGTTGTCACATACCTGGTGGAGAATGAGCTGGAGATGGGGTTTCTCTTGCACTTCTTGTCCAACGGCATGAAGGCCGGTGTAACAGGCAAGGCCAGCTGGTGTTTACAGGAAGCAGATGACCGTAGATCACCAGGAAGGAACCAGGAACCGGAACACAGTGACACGCGCTTGGCAGACAAGAACATAGCCAGGACTAAAACCAAAAGCTCATAAACAGCCAGGAAGCGAGGTGCAGGAACATCAGGCAGAAGATAGAGTCAGGATACAAGCCAGAATCAGTACACAGCTGGTCAGCAAGGTACAGGAGCAGAGTCGAGAAGGAGCAGAGTCAAAATACAAGCCGAGGTCACAGCAGGCAGGCAGAAATTCAAAGACAGGTCAGGGGCAAGCCGAGTCATGCACAGGTAGGCAGATATAGCAGGCCAAGGCTCAGGATTGAAGACCACTCAGCAATCTAGTCATGTCATAGATTAGCTTCAATAGGCTGTTTGGCGCCAGTGCCAGTACCGACCATGCATGTGTGTATGTACATGCGTGTGCGTATGCGCATGTTTTTGCAAACACTAATATGTTTGCACAAATGTATTAATCCCCATTTTGTATTGAGCCTTTGCTCAGAATTATGAGCATGTGGCATTCTTCTGGTTTCAGCATGTACTGAGCTTCTCTTACAGGTGTGCTGGCTATACTTTAAAGCTTGGACCTTTTTCTCTGTTTTTGCATAGAGATGCACTTTAACTTTGTACATTGAATATTCCTTTTTTAGTTTTTACTATATGTTGTTCATTTTTTAAACAAACCCAATATTTGTATATAGACATAAAACTTACAAAGCTAAAAAAAAACTGTAATGACAACGAGGTACTCAGTTGGCTAAAATAAACCATGGTTTAATAGAAAATGATAATTTATACCTTCCTTCCTCATCTAACTACTGCAGGTGCACTAAAATACATTTTCCTGTTCTGAAAACTGAAATAGCATTGTGTTTTTGGTGTAATGATACTTGATCAGATGCAATAATGCTACTACACCTGTAATATTTTAACCAGTTTATAGAGCAATCAGTCTTGCTGAATGCAAAATGCACAATCAGGACAGGGTTCTGCGCATTTTATTGCTATGAATATTTAAACAAAGTAAATAGGGTAAAGTGGAAAGGAGACATTCCATCTCAGTCAAAGGTGTAATTTTCCCCAATAGCATAATATGTCATTGGTAGTAATATAGGTGTAAAAAATCTGTTATTTTGTAAAGACTTCTAGTTTGATTATATTAATATGCTTGACCTATTCAAAAGGGCAGTGCAAAGGCACTGGGGTGCATTAACAAATGGAACTAATACTGGCCATTCACTTTTCAGGTTTATTGCTATAGGGTACTGCTTTTTGCAGTTGTGATAATGAGACGATTTATCATGCATTTGGAAAAGAAAAACGATTCAGGAATAATACAAGGTTGTTTCCAGCCAATAACAAAAATGCAACTTAAACTAGATTTTCAGGAAGAATGGAGGGAATTTGTAATGTATTGAACATGGAACATGCATTAATGTGAACAAACATACAACCAATGTTTATATAGAACAAAATTAGCATCAGTCTTGCCCTCCTGAGAATTTACCCCCCTTCCCGACCAGGCCATTTTTTGCGTTATGGCGCTGTGTTACTTTAACTGACAATTGCACGGTCATACAATGCTGCACCCAAATGGAATTTGCATCCTTTTTTTCCCATGAATTGAGCTTTCTTTTGGTGGTGTTTGATCACCTGTGCAGTTTTATTTTTTTGCGCTATAAAAAACCACAACAAAAAAACAACAACAATTTTGAGAAAAATAAACATTATTTTTTACTTTTTGTTATTAAACATGTCCAATAAAAAAGTGTAAAAAATCAAATTTCGGCATAAATTTAGGTCAAAATGTATTCTGCTACCTGTCTTTGCTAGAAAAAATCCCAATACATGTAAATTAATGGGTTTAAGTGAAAGTTATAGCATTTACAAATGGCAGAATATATACTGGGATTTTTATTTTTTTTTTTTATTTTTACTAGTAATGGCGTCAATCAGCAAATTATAGAGGGACTGCAGGACTGAGGTGGGCATTCTGACACTGGGGGGAACTAACTTGGTGCCACTGACATCCTCAGTGACACCAATACAGTGATCAGTGCTAAAAAAAAGCACTGACACTGTACTAATGGCACTGGGCAGGAAAAGGCTAGCATGTGGGGCGATCAAAGGGTTAACTGTGTACTGTGTGGTGTTTCACTCTGTGCTGTGTCCATGTGCTTCACTATAAGCATACTGCTTAGGATGACTGTGCTGTGCACAGCCATCTAAAGCAGTGTGCATGAGCTGACAAGGAGGAGAACTGTATTGTTTACATACAATTCTCCTCCCCGTCGAAGATGCTTGAGAATCACCAGGCGCCAGCGAGCAATCACCGGCTGGGACCCGTGATTGACAGCCTCAGCCGTGAATGGCGGTGTGGGTAGGGTGCGCCCCATACCCAGAGATGCAAAATCATGTATATATATGTGATTTTGCACACCCGTGCCAGCCTGTAGTAGTATATCTGCTTTAGGGCAGTCAGGAAGTAGTTAAGAGATGTCCAGTGTTCAGGGTAGGGTTTATTTCTGTTTATTACTGACAGTAATGAGTTGAACGTACCTAGGTTCAGTTAGGAGCAGGTTCAGTGAACGTTACTAAAGCTTGGGTGCCAAATCTGAACACTACTGAGGTCTTCATGGGGAGGCTAAATGTTAAAAAACAGTAATAGCAATTTTCAAGGTTAATGGGCAAGGAACTGTGAAACAAGTGGCATGGGTGGCTGAGGAATAAGTACCAAATTAAAAAATATTTTTTAAAGTCTGTTTGGTGGGAAGCAGTGATTTTATTAATACTTAAAGTAAAGAATTCAATTGTAATATTCCATTAAATAACATGCTAGGGGATGCACTGACCCTGTCTGTGAAGTGGTGCATCTGTGAAATGTATACATCCTACTACAGTGTTCATGGGCACAAGAGCCTCTTCCCACCAACCTTGGAACAGTGGTTGTGAGGGCCTGCAGGTGGGGGGGCTTAGAGTAATCTGGAAACCCCCTTTAACAATAAGGGAGCACTCAGATACCACTCCCCTCTCCCATGTGAATCAGTAAGGGTACATAATTCACAAAAAACTAAAATGTAAATAAAAACACAGACACAGTCCTTTATTTAAAAAAAAAAAATCCCATGATCCACATTCATCATGAATCACATCATCTAGTGAAGTAGATACATAGATTCATGTCATTTGTGATGTCTGATGCCTGCTGAAAGAACAAAAAAACACCACGTGCTGTCACTTCACTCATACCCAATGTCACATTTTGTAGATGTAAACTGTTGTAAACAAACATGAGGGGACTTCCAGGTGAAGTCATCAACTATATATGGACATGACCACCTGTGGTCAATGACATCACAGGATCCTGGTGATAAGATCCCAGTGTATGATTTTTTTTTGTGGGGGGAATATCACATTATTTTCTTTGTACGACTTTTTTGGTCCTGGTGCTGGTAGTCCTGGTATGGATTAGGGGGGAAGCCCATTCTGGCTCATTGCTTGCATGGCCAGAGATTCCTGGGCATGGAAGTGAATGGTGTTTGTGCTGAAGACTGTGTTGGGCTGACTGGAT